CCCAGTGAGAAGCTTGGACTTCGTTTTAAGGGAGAATGGGAAATCGTGGGACACTGTTGAGCAGAGAGTGATGTGGTGTGATTGGTGCTTTTAAAAGGTGACTTTTGTTGTTAGGTAGAGGACGGTCATGAGGGTGGGGTCTCGAGGGGCGGCGGGTGGACTGTTCGGGAGGCTGCCTGTGGTCCTTCGGGTGAGAGAAGACGGTAGCTTTGGTGAGGCCAGGTAGAGATGGAGGGGACGGACAGACTTGGGACAAACGTGGCTGCTGTCACCCTCTGTCACACGTCGGCCCCACATGCCCTTACCCGGAAGGCTCCCGTGTGACTCCCTGCGCCCGTGCACAGCCCGGGGTCAGCCCCGCTGTATCAGCAGGTGGATGTGGCGCCCCTGGCCTTACAGGAGGGGAGGAGAAACCAAACCCGCTCCAGCAGCTTCGGGAAGTGGGGAGAGAAAGTAGCCGCAGATTTTAGCCAGATGAAGGGCAGAGTGAGGGATGAAAGGAAGAGAATAGAACAGGCAGAGGGCCTTGATTCTGGTGGAGTCAAAGGGGAAGTGGGGGCTGGCGACCGGAGTGAGAGTGGAAAAGCCCCAGATCGGGGCGGAGTCAGTAAATTGCCACCTCCTTCTGGCAAGGCCGTTTCCCAAGATCCATTGAGATTCAAGATGAACTTACTCTTCAACCCAGCAACTCCACTTCTAGAAGTTTGTGGGTTAGTGCTGGGACAAGGACCTGGTCTGGGTCTAGGCAGGGGTGTCGGTGAGCACCAGGCACAAGTCCAAAATGCCGGAAACACCCTCAGCTGCCATCAGTCTGGAATTGGTTTAATCTTGGTATGTTCCACTCAAGGAAATCTTGGTAGTCACTCAATGAAATCTAGGGGCGCTGGTGTGGCTCAGTGGGTTAAGTGTGACCGGCTCTCGATTTCGGCTCGGTCGTGATCTCACGGTTCGTGAGTTCAAGCCCCATGTCGGGCCCTGCGCTGATCCTGCTCAGAGATTCTCTATCTCCCTGTCTCTGTGCCCCACCCCACCCCCCACTGTCTTTCAAATAGATAAACATTTTTTAAGAAAAGAAAAATAGTTGGCTCAGTCGGTTAGGCGTCCAACTTCAGCTCAGGTCATGATCTCGCGGTTTGTGAGTTCGAGCCCCGCCCCGCGTCAGGCTCTGTGGGGACAGCTCAGAGCCTGAGCCTGGAGCCTGCTTCAGATTCTGTGTCTCCCTCTCTCTCTGCTCCTCCCCCACTCACACTGTCTCTGTCCGTCTCTCAAGAATAAATAAACATTAAAAAAAAGAAAAATAGGGTAGCTCTGTGTGCACTGATGGGACAAGATGCACACACTCTGGAAGAAAAGTTGTGGCAGGAGCGTGTGTAGAACCCAAGTATGTGTGTCCTTTTCCAGCTGCAAAGAGGCTGTTTGGTGGCAGATGGGGTGACAGGCAGGCCATGAGCTCACTTTCTGCTTTATAGGTCTTCTGGGTCTGAGCACATGTCACTTTTATGGTTGGGATATAGCGTTTTTCCTCCATGAAAAGAGAGAAGTACCAGACAGGTGGCAATTTCAGTTACCTTTGAAAAAGGAACCAGGCAGCCCAGGGGACAGGAACCAGCATGGTGGCTTTCTCTCTATCTGCAATCAGGCTGAGCAGCCACTTCCTTGCTAGAAACCCAGAAAGCACCTGCTCCCCGCACAGCTGTGGACCTCTTCTTTGTGGCCAGCGCACCGGGTGGCCCCGGAGCCTTCTCCTGGTCCTCCCCCAGGCCCTGCCCCGAGATCAAAGGCAGGGCTCTGGGTCCCAAGAAGCTGCCCTCTGGCCCCTGGCCTACTTTGACCAGGCTGACAAGGCGGCCAAGGTCACCTGGCAGCTCAGTCCTTTGCCCTCAGGCTCCTTTCTGGGTGTGGTCCTGCAGTGGGAGGAGGTGGAAAGGTGGGGATTTCTCAGGCCCCTGCCGGCCTGGAATGCAAACGAAGGGCGAAGGACGGAAATAGACCTTCTTGCAATAATACCCCACCCAGGTCAGATTCGGTCTCTTGTTGCGAGGTTTAGACCCCAGAGTTACTTAGGCCTGACCTGGGCCACCTGCCCTGGCACCCAGGTCCCCCGGTCCCCTCCTGTCTTGCCACCTCTCGACACACTCGTGCCCCCCTCCCTGTTTCCATTCCAGCCGCGCTGCCCCCCTGCCCGCCATGGCCTCCGCTGACAAGAATGGCGAGAGCGTCTCCTCCGTGTCCAGCAGCCGCCTGCAGAGCCGGAAGCCGCCCAATCTGTCCATCACCATCCCTCCACCCGAGACCGCGGCCCCTGGCGAGCAGGCCAGCATGCTGCCCCAGGTAAAGGGACAGGTGAGGGGGCAGCCTGGAGGCTCGCCGCCCTGCCCCAGACAACAGCCATGCCCACACAGCACTGTTCGGGCGGAGGAGGCCCCTTCTGCCTGAGCCCCGGCTGCCTGTGTAGCCCCTGACTTAGGCCTGTGCCCCCCTCCTGCCTTTCCAGATGTCACAGTGAGCGGGCCCCGAGCGCAGGTGCCGGGTCTCCCGGTGATCGCTGTGGGTCTCCCGGTGGGATGTGCGGTCCTGAGAAAGCCTCCCGGTTCCACCCGGGACTGGCTGTTTCCCTTTCTGTCTAGGCCCTGCCACACCACCCCGCCCAGGGGCGAGGGCTGTCACACTTGGGGGAAGGGGCCCCCGCGCTGGGCATCAGCAGCCTGACCCCGCGGCGCCTGGCTCCCGTGGAGGATGGAAATGAGCAACGTTTCCAACAGCCTGGACCAGCGCTCCATAAAGGGCTCATTGAGAGCAGGCTTGAAACAGTGTCCTGGGGCGTAAAGGGGTGCTGTGTTGGTGCCACCCACTCACCCCGGGGGGCTCTTCCTCCTACAGGGAACCAGGAGCTAGGAAATCACGCTGGGGGTCACTGAAGAGTTAAAAGATGGTGACTTTACGTTTGGAAGGAAAGCAGCTCAGGGCGTGTAAATTGGGGGTGAGGCTTGTTCTCCGTGCTCTCACGTAGGGAGCCAAAAAAGAGCCAGCCCGGGCTCTGGGCTCCACCGAGTCCCAGCCTGTCCTCCCACAGAGGCCCAGGAACCCAGCCTACGTGAAGAGTGTCAGCCTCCAGGAGCCACGGGGACGATGGCAGGAGGGCAGCTCAGACAAGCGCCCAGGCTTCCGCCGCCAGGCCTCCCTGTCCCAGAGCATTCGAAAGTGAGCACCCTTCCCGCCCCCCGTCCCCGGCAGCCCTACGGACCTTCTCCGGGCCTGGCCCCTGGGTCCCCTTCCTAGAAGGAGCGGGAAGGCCTTAATGAGCGGCCCTCCCTGCAGGGCTGGAACGTGAGAATCCGTTAACACCGTGTTCCGGGGGGGAAACTGAGGCCCAAGGGCGCTGTGTGCCTTGTAGAAAGTCACAGGGTGGAGCCTGCGGGGTGGGTCAAGGAGCGGGGCTGCGGGGGGGAGGCACCGGCCCACAGAGTGACTCCGGGAGGCCTGCCCACCCCTTTTAGCTGGTCACTGGGTACCAACCCAGGGGCAAAAGCGGGGAGCCGATCTGTCCCCCTCCACTGCACACACACGTGCCTTGTCGCCTGTCGTCCCCTGCCCACACACGCTGTCACCTCCCACGTCCCCTCCCCTGGACACAAGTGCACGGCACCCTGCCCCCCCTGCGTCCCCCCTGCACGTGCCCTGGCCCGCTTTGGTCTTCGTCCCCGCGGTGTGCCCACCCCCGCTGCGCTCTCGGCTCCCACAGGGGCACAGCCCAGTGGTTCGGGGTCAGTGGCGACTGGGAGGTGAAGCGGCAGCATTGGCACCGCAGGAGCCTGCACCACTGCAGCGTGCGCTACGGCCGCCTCAAGGCCTCGTGCCAGCGGGACCTGGAGCTCCCCAGCCAGGAGGTGCCGTCCTTCCAGGGCACCGAGTCTCCAAAACCCTGCAAGATGCCCAAGGTGGGTGTGGGGGGGGGGGGGGGGCGGCAGCAGTGGCAGGG